TATCCATCGTGGCCTGTTTTCCTTGAGAGACCCTTCTAGACATATACATGTCCAATGACATCACAGTTTCATTTACTCATACAAGCCCCTTTGACTTGTCAAACCCTCGATCAATAGAAGGAGTTTTAGCCTATATTTCCCATTAAAATTGCTTGGAATTAAGATTTCAATGTGAAAATCTGTGGAACTATTGAGAATGTGTTTGAGAAGTCTTCCAACCTTTTAATGTAGTTGAGAGGATATATAGTAGTTGAAAGTTAGAAGAAGCACTTTATTTTTTCTTTCAAAATTAACTGCAAATAGTCTTTCTTTCTTGAGCTCTGGACAACTGTTACAAAGTCACCAAATTACTTTCTGTAGCTTGTGTCTTTTAAATAGCACATCCAGCCCTCTCAATTCCTGGCAAATAGATGGGGAAGAAATGGAGGTAGTGACAGATTTTATCTTCCTGGGCTCCAAGATCACCACAGATGGGGACTGCAGCCAAGAAATTAAAAGACGCTTGCTCCTGGGGAGGAAAGCTATGGCAAATCTAGATAGTATACTAAAAAGCAGAGACATCACCCTGCCAACAAAAGTACGTATAATCAAGGCCATGGTTTTTCCAGTTGCAATGTATGGCTATGAAAGTTGGACCATAAGAAAGGCTGAGCGCAAAAGAATTGAGGCCTTTGAACTATGGTGCTGGAGAAGACTCCTGCGAGTCCCCTGGACTGCAAGGCAATCAAACCGGTCAATCCTAGAGGAGATCAACCCTGACTGCTCTTTAGAAGGCCAGATCCTGAAGTTGAAACTCAAGTAATTTGGCCACCTAATGAGAAAGAAGGACTTAATGGAGAAGAACCTAATGCTGGGAAAGATTGAGGGCAATAGAAGAAGGGGACAACAGAGAATGAGGTGGCTGGATGGAGTCACTAAAGCAGTAGGCATGAGCTTAAATGGACTCCAGAAGATGGTAGAGGACAGGAAGACTTGGAGGAACGTTGTCCATGAGGTCGGACACGACTTCACGACTAACAACAACATAGTGTTTTAATTAAAAAATCGTAATTATATAATTGTGATTGTGGTGTTCATTCAGTCCAGTAGCCAATCCAGATTTTGGCTCTATCCTTTATGCATAATGCTTTTCATGTAGTTTTAAAGCAAATTTATTTATTTATTTCTTAAGTAATTCCACTTTTTCTCTAGGTCTTCAACATGGTGTACATAGTACTTCTGCCAGTTTTCCCCACACAACACCTTTATGAAATAGGTTGTCTGAGAAAGAGAAATTGGTCCAAAATACCCAGCGAGCTTCCATGGCTAAAGCTAAAGATGATTTCATTCTGGATCTCCCCAGTCTTAGTCTAACACAGTAGTTCTCAACCTTTTTAATGCCGTGACCCCCAACCGGTCGTAAGTCGAGGACTACTCAACCGGTCGTAAGTCGAGGACTACTCAACTGGTGCAGCACCGTTTGCAGAATGGGACTTTTGGCGGGCTCAGCAAGGCAGAGACAGCCTGGACAATTCCTATTGGCTTTTGAAAGCCAATAGAATTAGACTCTATTCAAAGGGAGTAGCACAGCTAAGGAAAAGGGGGAAAAAATGGTGGACTGCATTTGGCGACCCCCGTGAAATGGTCGTTCGACCCCAAATAGGGTCCCGACCCACAGGTTGAGAACCACTGGTCTAACATCTTAATTCTACCCCATAGTATAGAATTAAGATTTAAGACTAAGATTCAGGAGATTCAGTATCAAATCATCTTTAGTTTTAGCCATGGAAGCTTACTGGGTATTTTGGACCAATTTCTCTTTCTCAGACAACCTACTTCATAAAGGTGTTGTGTGGGGAAAACTGGCGGAAGTATTATGTACACCATGTTGAACACCTAGAGGAAAGGTGGGATTACTTAAGAAATATTCAATTGATTAATATCATTTGTCCTCTATGGAGACTGATATTTTCCAACTGGTACCTACCTTATCTAGTGAAATAGAAAAATAATTTTAACCAATTTGAATAAAGAATTTTAGATGTAGAAGCCTGCTAACATGAGAAGGAACTTACCTTGGGCAAAGTAAATTGTCTGCTTTAATATTCATATGGAATATAACTTTTTATTACCTTTATCTTGCAGAAATGAAATGTTTTATAGATATCGACAGTATATTTTGTAATAGTTGATAAGGAAGGATCATTTCTGTGAAGAAATGCTAGAGAGATGAATCTTAGCTCTTTTGCATCTGGCAGTTGTACTACATTAGATATGTATTTCACAAGGGACTCCCCCCCCCCCTTTAGGCAGATTCCATGCTTGGAATCATTAGGCAACGTTGCAAATAGAACTGTTAATATGGTGTAATAATGCCCTCATACAAAGTTTTAGGGAGAGTATACTTGGACCATGATATACTACTCTTAAGAAAAATATTTTAGACAAGGTGCAAAATAGAGCAAGCAAAACAACTAGGGGAACAGACTAATATCCTGTTGAGAAAAAACCACAGTAGTTCAAACACTTCAGCTTGGAATGAAGGAAGGTAAAGAGAAACATGATAGAAATATATGTTATTCGGTGGTGTTTAAAAGTTTGTGACTCTTTTTGAATGTTCACTGTTTCTGCAGAAATATGAGCTAAAAATGATCTGTTCTCCGTCCAAGTTCAAAAATTAAATTCAGAGAGTCCAATTAAAGACCTTAGTTAAAAATATTTAAATATTGAAAAAGGATTTCAAAATTTTTATAAACCATTGTTGTAAAGTGCCTCAGTTATGTGAAAAGGAGAAGTTTGTATCTCATAGTTTCACTCACTGAAATTAAACGCAAGAATTCAGATCCAAGAGGCATAATCACACAGGGCATAATTTGAAATTTGCTAATAATACTTGTGCTAATGTCAGTGAAACTGTATTAAAAATACTAGAGGATCAGAGGCAACTAATATTTATGGTTATTTATTACCTGCTATATCATTGGCAGTGTGCCTTAAATGGGTTTTAGGCAATTGACTGTAAAAGGATCTATTGCTTTTCAATCCAAGCTTGTGAGCTTTCCAAGTGTATCCAGATGGCTGATCCATCCTGATTACCATTAGATTTGGTCTAATCCTCCTACTAGTAGTACGCAGAAGAGATTGTCAAATGTTCATCTTATGAAGGGAAAATTTTAAAACTGATCATGAAAAGACAAATGTAATTTGAAAGAAAAACAATCTTAAATTTAAGGTATTATCAAACTATAATTTATTTGTCTTCCTAAAGAAAATGAAGTGAAGAGACAAAAACTTATTTCCATGCTACATGAATTACTGAAGGCTTTGAACAATTTTGTCTATATATGTTCACTTATAAAATTAGCCGTTGGACATAAATTTTAGTTTCTTTCCTAGTTTTTTTAGTCAATATATGAGGTCAGAAATTCTACAACTGCTATTAACTAACTCATTTGCTATAATTAAACCTGATTAATCTTGCTCTAATGCCATGTTAGTGGAACATGTTTCATTTTGCCTTTCTTTTTATTCTTTTAGAATTTTTTTTCTTAGGCCTGTAGGTTGGTGCCTGTACTGCTAACGTTTATACAGCATTAGCAATGTCAGCATTAATAAATACAGTATAACTTTGTTATAGAGTAAGCAGTCAGCAATCAATCACAGTTTTTGATTAGGCAGCCAATACTCACATACCCAACCTGATTTTGATCAAATGTCTTTGAACTGCTATGTTGCATTGCAGTTCCAGAATTCCCAGACAACATGATCAGAATTGCAGCATATCTGGGAGAAGATTATGCTAATGAAGTCTGAATTTATCATCACATAATGCAGATGCACATTTTTAAAAATAGTTATATGCAAAAAGTTTAGAACTAGACATACAGCGTTAAGATCTCAATCATGCCATGTCTCTGAAAATCTGTCTCTGCTGGTTGGCTTGAGGATCAAATACGAGAGTTCCACACTGGAGGTGGTTGCTAGATTGATGGCAAACTCCACCTACCCTCCCCCACTTGCTCTCTACTCTCCACCCATCCATCTTTTTAGTTATTATATTGATGTATTATTCTCATTGTGTTCTTTTTCATTGTTTGTTTTATTATTCTATTATTTTACTTTTGTTCTGTTTATACTTCCATTTTTCTTCCTTTTTATTATTGTAAGCCACCTAAGATAACCTCATGGTGAGATAGGTAGCAAATATATTTAACAAATAATGATAATCTAGTATGTATATTTAAAATCTAGTATGTATATTTAAAATTTACACCCTATCAACAGTATCAACAGCAGAGTTTCTAGATTCTATCTCCAAGGACTTGAAATGGACACCCAACATTAGAACCATCATTAAAAAGGCACAATAAAGAATGTTCTTCCTGTGTCAAATCAGAAAGCTCAAACTGCCCAGGGATCTGCTGATATAGTTCTATAGAGGAATTATTGAGTCTGTCATTTGTACCTCAATAACTGTCTTGTTTGGCACAACAACCAAATAGACTTCAATGGATAGTAAGGACTGCAGAAAAAATGATCCCAACCAGCCTGCCTTACATTGAGGATTTGTATACTGCACGAACCAGAAAGAAGGCTAAGAAAATATCTGCAGATCTCTCACATTCTGGACATAATTTATTTCAACTTCTCCCCTCAGGACACCACTAAAGAGCTTTACATGCCAAAACAACTAGACATAGTTTTTTTCCGCGTGCTATCACTGCTGAACACTTAATTCCCACAGCACTGTCTCATTTCTCATCTTTTTTCATGTTCTCATCTTTCCTAATATCTTCTCCTATTGGTTTCTTATGGTTTATCAATTGTTGTTTATAACCTATGATTAATGATTGTATTTATTATTATAACCTATTATTTGCTGTTTATATGTGAGCTTAATGTACCGGAGACAAATTCCTTGTTTGTCCGATCACACTAGGCTAATAAAGAATTCTACCCTATCCGACCCTACCCTACACTATCCTATCACTGAATCACCAATTCTTTGTGGCTACTTTCAGAGAGAATCTCCCAAGCCGCTTCAAATTTAAGGAGTATTGTCCAATGGTATTCCGAAATCTCCGGGAAAGATTTGGGATTGATGATCAGGACTATCAGGTAGAGAACAAACTTTTTATTGAGATATGTCAGTTATATGAATAATTGAGGAATGAAAGTATTTCTAATTTTGTGGTAATTAGAAATTAATCTGGTGCTACAATAACTGGTATCAGTGAATCAGACTGAATTATTTATTATATTGGTTGCATTTGTATTTTCCTCCAAATAGTTGTGTATTTGAAATATACCAGGCAGAAAAAAATAGGAGATAGGACATGGGTTTGGAGAAGGGATGATAAAGATAAAAGTATGAATAAAGAAAGATACAAAAGAGGGCAGCAGAAACTTATACTAAAGATTAGATATCGTATGTAAAGCAGAGTTCCCCAACCTTTCTGGCTTTGTGGACCAGTGGGTGAGAGGGAGAGGGAATGGTTCTGTGTGAGCTGTGAGCAAGTGTGTGTATATGTGCGCATAGCTCTATTTGTGCAAGCGGCAGGCAAGTGTACCTGCTACTTGTGCAAATAGAGCATGTGCGTGTGCTTGCCTGCTACTCGCACATGTGGGGATGTGCACACGCTCACCCACTACTTCCACAGCCTGGTTCCGAATGGTTCAAGGCCGCCAGTAGTGGGCTGCAGCCCAGGGGTTGGGGACCCCAGATGTAAAAAAGTTTTTTATGCACAGAGCAAACACATTGTGGCACAGAGATTTAGCAGAACCATTTTGAGTGGGCTGAGTTCAACCAAATTAAAATCTGGAATATTTTGTTTTGGGTTACAACCAAAACAAACTAAGGCCTGCAGGGTGAATAGACAGAGGCCTAGAACCTCACTTTGCTCTCTTTAATTTCCTTCTCCACATCATCTATATGCTACCTTAATCGGTGAGATGATACATCGTAGAGGAATAATTTTTGAATCAAATAGGCTAACTTATAGAATGTGTCCAAAATCTGGGATTTCCCAGGGAATGACATTTGGGAAAGTTGTGGCTACTTCTATGGTCACATGATCTTTATTTGTGATGTTCTGTAACAGTTTCCCAACCAGTCTTGCAATCTCTTGTTCCTTTTCCCACTCGCAGCAGCTGCTTACCGGCCTGCTGGAAATGGAAGTGAAGGAAAGATTTCCAATGGTCCCTGCAAGATTCCCATTAGGAAACTCAATGGGGAAGCTTGCAGGGACCATTGGAAGTCATTCCTACTCCCTCTGTTTTTTTCCCTCTCTTTCTTTTTCTGGGTCTAAACAGATACACAGAAATATGAGCTATGGGTGTCTAGTTTCATACAAGTGTGGCATACCCAGTTGCTCTTCTCTTCCCCATCATTTCCCAGTATAGATTTTGTTCTCTTATCTCCACACAGAATTCTGTGACCAGGAGTGCTCCAGTATATAATGATAGCCATGGGCGGTGTGGAGTTCGTTTTCTTACCACCTATGACCGACGGTTTGTCATCAAGGCAGTGTCAAGTGAAGATGTTGCAGAGATGCACAACATTCTAAAGAAATATCACCAGGTGAGATATGTGTAGGAAGAAAGTATACTGTTTTGATGGACATTTTAGTAGATGCTCATATTTTGGGGGACCCTTCTACAGAAATTTTCCTGTTCTCCCAGCAAGAGAGAAAGAAGAGGCTGAAAAAAAAGATTGTTTCTGCCAGTTTATGAGATTATTGTAAGCATAACCTATGAGTTATGCTGTGTTATTTTTATTTAGAAGAGACATCAAACACAGCTGAGCCCAGAGTTTTTTTCCTCAATTACTTTTTCACTTTCCAGTTACTGGAAACAGCTCCCATAATTAACATATTTTGTGATGAAGAAGCAACATTCCAAGAGGAGGAACTGGGATCTCAAAAGAATAGCTCCATTAAACCATTTTACCACCCAAATGTACAGCTTTTGTTTTGTATTATGGGGATATTTTTTCTTTATCCTTCATTTATTTTATCCTGAAATTTATTTTATTTGCATTTGTTTTCTCTATTCAGACATTCTGGCTGCATTATCAAAGAGTTCTAAACCAATAGGCTCTCTTGAATAACTCTTAGGCTCGTACTTGAGGTGAATGGAGGGAGAGTGGTCTATTCAGGACAGTGGAAGCTTTAGGTTAATAATCAGAAGATCACCTAATTGCAGAAAATGATTTTCTTCATGATAACTGAAGAGATATGACCTTAGAAAAATGTGGCTGGAATAATTATTTTCTTGTCATTATCAAATTTTATTTGGGTGAAATAAGGCTCAGAAATGTTTTTTTTATTTCTAAGATTAACCTTTATAGCAAAACAATTATGCTTTACCAATGTCATATTTCTCTTTGTCCTTTTGATTTCATTTATTAGAAATAATTTAGTATATCAGGTTATATTATGAAATATTGATACTTAAAAAGTACCTGAAATGCCCTTTTAAATTTTCCTTCTGTAGCAGCTCCGAAAACCTCTCCATTTAAACTCTGCTGGCAGCTTTTAGACTACACTAATTGGTTATATATTCTCTCCTTTTTTTCCTTATTCCCTTCAGTTCATTGTGGAATGTCATGGGAATACACTTTTACCCCAGTTTCTTGGCATGTACAGGCTTACAGTAGATGGTGTGGAAACCTACATGGTAGTCACCAGGAATGTGTTTAGTCACCGGTTGACAGTGCATCGAAAATATGATCTCAAGGTGAGCATCTCCGAAGTTCAGCAGTGTCCTGGCCTCAAAAAAAGTGCATGCTTGTAAGTTTAGAATCATAAGTAGACACTTGAGTCTTGAAATTGTGAAGGAAGTAAGGTATCGTTTGAAAAATACTATTTCTGTGTACTTCACATAATCCTTGACTTACAACCATTTGTTTAGTGACCATTTGAAGTTACAATGCCACCCAAAAAACTGACATGATCATTTTTCACACTTGGGGCCATTGCAACATCTCCATGTTCACATTTGAATGCTTGGCAACTGGTTCATATTAATGACAGTTGCAGTGTCACCTTTTGTGACCTTCTGACAAGCAAAGTCAATGGGGAAGCCAGATTCACTTAACTGTGTTACTAAATTAACAACTGCAGTGATTCACTTAACAACCTTGGCAAGAAAGGTCATAAAATGGGGCAAAACTCATTTAACTACTGTCTTGCTTAGCAATGGAAATTTTGCACTCAATTGTGATCATGTCAAGGACTATCTTTATATTCATATGATTTGGTTTCCTTGTATAAGAATGTTGCTTTTCTCTGAGGGTTGAGTCCAGTAGACCATAGCTAGACTAAAACCTTTAGGCCTGGTGCTGATTTTGTGTTCTGTAGGAGTTTTATGCTGGAAGAGGAAAGCTTCACCACAGAGTTAAAAGGAAAAAGATTATTTCCAGACTTGCTGTACAAAATGAGATGTGGTGATGTTTACTAGTTGTATCAAAGTGTTTTTAGTTCCTGTGATTTGCTAGTATAGAAACCAAATTTGTTATTCCCAATCTTCCTCCCGAGATTGGGATTGCTAAAAGAGATTGGAGGCTAAAGTAAATATTTTGTTTTGAATAATTGTGACTTTTTCAGAAATTTTTAGACTAATCCTTTGGAACTGTTTTGGTTTCATGGAATCTCATGACTGTTTGCAAACTTCTCTTAGCATATAATGCAAAGAGTAGCTGACAGATGTGAAATATTATTGCATATATTCCTGCACCACACATCCCAAAAAAATTCATACAGTAGTGTATAGATGTGCTTGATTTCCTAGATCAAACATGGTGATGGTTTTAAGATGATTAGTTTTTGATTCATAAAGATGAGAGAATCCAGGTGTTTTAATCTGTTGTATGAACCTGGCTATCCACAGAGTCATAATGTGTTCGTTTATTGGACATACTACAAATTGCATCAGTCTTCACATAAAAAGAAATTATAGCCCAACATACCAAAATAAACATTGCAAGAGACAAACTAGAAACAAAAATTAAAATAAGCAAGAAAATTGTAAGAGAACCTATCTGACCTTGACGAATATAAATCACTGGGACCTGACAGATTACATCCCAGAGTTTTGAAGGAGCTGGAAGATACTATCTCAGAACCATTGCACCATATCTTTCATAAATCCTGGAGAACCGGGGAAGCACCTGAGGATTGGAAAAGGGCTGATATGGTTCCCATCTTCATGGAAAAAAAAAAAAAAACAGACCCAGGAAACTACAGACCAATCAGTTTAACATCAATACCTGGAAAGATCCTAGAAAAGATAATCAAAAACAGATCTGTGAACAACTAGAAGCAAACAAAGTTATAACCAGTAGCCAGCACAGGTTTGTTAAACACAAATTATGCCAAACCAATCTTATTTCATTCTTTAATAAAGTGACTAAACCAGCAAAATGCTATGGACATAGTATACTTAGATTTCAGTAAGGTATTTGATAAAGTAGACCATAATCTACTCCTTGATAAGCAAGAAAAAGGTGGAATAGACTACATCACCATCAGATGGATCTGTGTCTGGCTGGCAAACCATACTCAATGAGTAGTTCTCAACAGCACTACATCCACATGGAGAGAAGTAAGCAGTAGGGTACCACAAGGTTCCGTCTTAAACCCAGTACTCTTCAATATCTTCATAAATGACTTAGATGAGGGAATAGAAGGGGAACTCATCAAATTTGCAGATGACACCAAACTGGCAGGAGTAGCCAACACCCCAGAAGACAAACTGAGGATCCCAAAAGATCTTGACAAACTTGAACAATGGGCCCGATCCAACAAAATGAGTTTCAATGTGGAGAAAAACAAAATTTTACATTTAGGTAGGAAAAATCAAAGGCACAAGTACAGATTAGGTGAGACCTGGCTCACAAAAAGTAACTGTGAGAGGGACCTTGGAGCCCTAGTGGACGATCACTTGACTATGAGCCAGCAGTGTGCAGGCAGCAGCAAAAAAAGCTAATAGAATCCTGGGTTGTATAAACAGAGGCATAGAATCAAGATTACGCAAAGTATTAGTACCGCTTTATAAAACCCTAATAAGACCACACCTGGAATACTGCAACCAGTTTTGGTCACCATATTACAAAAAAGATGTTGAGAGTTTGGAAAAAATTCAGAGAAGAGTAACTAAGATGATTGAAGGCCTGGAGACTAAAACAGAGGAAGAACGGCTGCGGGACTTGGGTTTGGCTAGTCTAAAGAAAAGAAGAAATAGGGGAGACATGATAGCAGTATTCCAGTATTTGAGGGACTGCTACAAGGAAGAGGGAGTCACATTATTCTCCAAAGCACTAGAGGGCAGGACAAGAAATAGTGGTTGGAAACTGATCAAAGAGAAGCAACCTGGAATTAAGGAAAAACTTCCTGACAGTGAGGACAATTAACTGGTGAAACAGCTTACCTCCAGAAATCATGGGTGCTCCATCATTGGAGGTTTTTAAGAAGAGACTAATGAGTCCCTTGTCTGAGATGATATAGGTCCTCCTGCTTGAGCAGGGGGCTGGACTAGAAACCTTCCAAGGTCCCTTCCAGATTCTACTTCTATTCCTATTCTATTCTATTCTATTCTATTCTATTCTATTCTATTCTATTCTAAATGTAGTAAATCTAGATAAGATTTAGCATGTTCTTTGAATCCTGCTGATCTGTCTCTATAAGCATTCTGCCTTCAGCTGTGGAGAGTACATGCCTTCTTGGGGGAGAGGATGATGTGATCCTCATGGAGCTTTGTGATCCATGATCATCACATTAAGAAAGTGAAAAGAAGACTGTTGATCTTCAATAAGTTGTTTCTAAATCATAGAATCATAGAGTTGGGAAGAATCTCAGAGGTCATAGATCTTTTTCTATGCAGCATCAGTTAAAGCTAGGATAGTAAAACTGACTTAATACTGTATATTCAATTCTGGGGAGTGAAATATTTTCCCAGATACAATCTTTTTATGGTTTAAATGTTTAGAAAATGAAAGTAAATAAGACAAAGAAAAATGTACTAACTTTGCCCTTAATTGATAGATGCGTAATCAGGATTTTTTTTAAAAAAAAAAAGTTTGGCTTTAAATAGATAATCACTTCTTATTTTTTACTTTCTCCTCCAGGGTTCAACAGTAGCAAGAGAAGCCAGCGACAAAGAAAAGGTAAAAGTCAAAGTTAAAGAAAGATTTAAAATAAAAATCTTTGTGTTTTGAATATTAACCTATAAAATGTTACTTTTGTATCACTACTTCTAACAGTACTTCTATTTTTTTATTTTAAAAAGAAACTGCATTTTTAAAAAAGGCTATATTTGATAATCAAAATTGTATATAAAAATAAAACAGTTTAATAGAATCTGGCAATAATACATAATATTAGCAGTTTGATATAATATTAAAATAAGTGTTAATTAGTTCTTAAACAATTAGTGCTTATCAAAATAAACATGTTTTTATTCTGTATGGCTTAAGCTCTTGTTTGGGAGTAGAATGTTTGTTCTAATCCAGGATGGGTTATCCTTTTAGTGTTTGAGAGTTGATTAAATGCCACTCAGACGTCAGTCAAAAATGGATATCCTCTCTCCTCCCCTTTCTCCCCTATACATAAGCACGTAAGCCCAGGCATACATTTAAACATGCAGGCATTGGTTGTGGTTCCTCAATTATAAAGAAAAAACTGCCAGCAGGTCTGCTTCTGAGACTCCTCAAAATACATTTATTCCGAGATTCCTCTTGTTGGGATTGGGAGCAATACAGACATAGTAAGCATGAGCCAAAGGCAGTTGAGACAGCATTTTTCCCATTGGACTTCTCCCTTTCAGGTAGTCTTCAACTTATGACTGTTCATTTAATGGTGGTTTGAATTAGTGATGGCCATGGAAAGGGTGCTGTCCTAACCATCGCAGTGCAAGTGTCTCTCTGCTCAAAGGCTGAAAATACTGCTTGGATTTCAGCAGAGAGGATTTTCAATTTCGGAGCTGAGAGACACTCACATGTGACCTGCACTGGAACTTCTAGGGCTCTTCTCATGCCCATGAGGCAATCTTACCTGGGATTCTGTCCACTTAATGACCTGTGAGATAGCTTAATGATCAAAACCAGGAGTACTGAAGCTGCAGTCATTGAGTGAAGCAGTGAAATGACCTCTTGCTTAACAGCCACTTTGCTCAAGATTCCAGATGCAGTTGGTCATAAGTCAAGGACTATCTGTAGTATAAATTATATGGGCACTCAAAATTATTTGCATTTCACTTCATACGTCACCATGAATACAGTGTCAAAACAGCTCTAGAAGTCACTTTGGACTCTCTAGTTGAGACAGAACGTGGAAGCAGCAGGTACTAGCAGTGAAGGAAAACACAGTTGGAAGGAGTAAAGTAGAAAATGGCAGAATTGGAGGGGAGATCTGGGGTGCACCTTGAGGGGACCATTGAAGATCTTATGTTGGCTGAATGCTACCTATAAGCATCCATGACTGTAAATGTCAAGAGACAAAACAGTATTTATCCCTTCTCTTGCTGTTTGAACTTCTAATTGTGTTACTATTGCCTCCATATAATTTAATGAATTATTTGAATTAGATTGATTACTAGATGTATCCATGCTCTGCCCCATTCTCTCTTTCCCCAGTTAATATTAGTGTGATCCCATAGCATATAGAACTGACCTAGTTCTTTGCTTCATGAACCCAATCTTTTTTTAATAAAGAAAATGCTTCAATTATTATTTTATTTATTTTTTGCAACATCATTCTGAGGTGGGGCAACAAGGCTTCGAACATTAAAGAATAAAAACATTGAAATACTATTGCACTGTTGGACATAAGCAATCTAGGCAGCCAATAGGGTAGGATAAAGATGATATATGTCATAGAAAGCTGAACCTGAAGTTAATACTATAAGCAGAGAATGAGCCTTTTCAAGAGCAATAAATGTGTTTCCTAATCACCTAATTGGTGAAAGAGAGCCAGTTTAGTGTAGCGGATAAGGCACCAGTTAGAAAACATGAGACCATAAATTCCAGTTCTGTCTTAAGCACAAAGCCAGTTGAGTGACCGTGAGCCAATCATTCTCTCTCAGCCCTAGTAAGAAAGCAATGGCAAATCACTTCTAAAAACTCTTGTTAATAAAACTGCAGGAACTTGTCCAACAATAACAACAAAAACTGCTGAAAACAAGGACAAGACTGATTGTTGTCCTGAGCTAGGAGTTTTACAATCCTTCCGGCTGTGGGAAACTACCGTGTTTCCCCAAAAATAGGACCTACCCCCAAAATAAGTTCTAGCCTGATTTTCATGCCTGTGCCAATTATAAGCCTATCCCGAAAGTCAGCCCTACTTAAGAGCCTGTGCAGCCGTCCACCTGGCCCCTGTTTGCTTGCTGCTGACATGAAGTGGGGGGGGGCCCCGCGGCCACAAAGCGAGGTGTTGGGGAGGGTTAAGGACGAAGTGAGGTAGGTGCGGTGCTGCCCCACGCACCCCAGACCGGCTGACAGAGGGCCCCGCAGCCAGGCCATCAATGTGCTGACAACTGCCTGGCCTTGCAGCAGTGGATCCAGCAACCCCATGCAGGATCGCCAGTCCGCTTTGCCCTCCATCCCACCACTGCCTCGCTTAGTAGCTGCAGCACCGGTGCATCACTCAGTCTCCTGTTTTGTTGCAGCAGTGAATAAAAAGAAGAAGCGGGCCGGCAATCCTGCATGGGGCTGCTGGAGCTGCCGCCATGAGGCCAGGTAGTTGTCAGCACGTTGATGGCCTGACTGCGGAGCTCTCTGTCAGCCCTTGCGGGGCGCATGGGACAGCTGTGCACCCCCCACCTCGCTTCATCCTCCACCTCCTCACTGTCTTGCTTCGTCATCTATGATGCTTATTTTGGCAACCCCAAAAAAATATAAGACCAGGTCTTATTTTCGGGAAAACACTGTGTGTGTGTGTGTGTGTGTGTGTGTGTGTTCAGAATGGATGACATCATCCAGGAATCCTAAAGATGTCCTTACTATGTAGCCACATCAGATCAAAGAACATAGGTCAGGAAGATGAGGAATTGCTTAAAGACAGTCCATCGTAGTCAATTTAGTATAGGTGTGACAGGAATTGCCCTTAAAAGTTTCTTGTTTTTATCATGTATATACCTTCCTGAAATCTATGTGGCTTTGGCTCCTGGGTTTGCCAGCTGTGTGAGGCTTGACAACAAAATGGAAAGACCAATTCCTAGGAGGAGTCTCTTTTTGAAATGCTTTCTTCTTCTGGGTTGTGTTGTTTTTCTGATCTAACCTGCAGTCCTTCTCTACTTCCTTCCCACAATCTCTCACAAACCTTTAATTTTAGCCCAGCAGTTTGCCATCAATATTTTCATGTTTTTTTAATTATTTCCTCAAAGTTGATGGAATTGCCTCTGCCCCAACTTCAGCAAGCAGTATATTGAGCTGCTTTGGATTGTATAATATGGAAGCAATGTTTTGCACTTACTTGAGTTCAATCCTTCTCTCTAGGCTAAGGATCTACCAACCTTTAAAGACAATGATTTTCTAAATGAAGGCCAAAAACTCCATGTTGGAGAGGAATGTAAAAAAAATTTCCTGGAGAAATTGAAGCGAGATGTTGAGGTAGGGTAGCTAAGCTGTTGATTTTTTGGGAATTGGGCATAACTAAAAACTGGGATCAACAGAATCTCCTCTGTTACAATAATTTTAAAGCTCTTTAAAAAGCTAGATAAAGTAGAGATATCTGGTTGATTCTGTCTCAGACTCTAAAGTAAATTTAAATTAATTTGAAAATCTATTAGAAAAAGCAGACAGAGGAGTTTATTTTACTGTCTCTTGCATTCACTTTGGGGATTTCCTCCTTCATCTTACTCAAGAATAATAGAGTTTTCCATAACTTATGATCAACAGAAATGAGTGTTACTCCTACCAGTTGCAGAAAGAATCTATGGTGCCTTCTCTGACTGACAAGCTTTGTTGGATTGTTTAATCAATTTAGTTTTAAACAGAATGCAGACCTCAAAGTGCAACAGATCTTAAAATGACCATTTTGGAAAAGTTCAGGATCATTTAAGTGAGAGATTGTTGAAGTCATAAATACCAAAAAGTTTTAGACAATATTTCTACAAATATAATTGTTTCTTTAGCATATTACAATTGTTAATTGATTAGGTACTTGCAGTCTAATATGTAACCTGCACTTTCATAACTAACTTATCTTCCCTTCCACCTCATCCCATTTTAAACCCTACATCATTCTAGCCATTCTATGCAAAGTTGCAAAGTCACAAAAATTTATTAAAACTTTTAATAAAATATGTTAGAAAATGTGCCACCAGTTGCCACCATCAACTAAAAATATATACCTTCTGTAACTCTGTAACCCGAAGAATTCCAAGTAATCATATAAAAATGCTTTGAGATTTATGGCACTTAATATTTGGATCTGGTGCCAAGTTAATGAAAGATAGTTTAACTCAAATCCCATAGGTGATATAGAGACATTGAAAATGAGAAGAAATATTTTTTCTGTTGGCTTCCAGTTTCTTGCACAACTGAAGATCATGGATTACAGTTTGCTGGTAGGGATTCATGATGTTGATCGAGCTGAGCAAGAAGAAATGGAAGTTGAGAACCGGGCAGAAGATGAAGAATGTGAGAATGATGGCATAGGTGGGAATCCAATTGGGTCCTATGGTACGCCACCTGACAGTCCTGGTAACCTTCTCAATTTCCCACGTTTCTTTGGGCCTGGGGAGTTTGATCCATCTGTGGATGTCTACGCTATGAAAAGCCATGAAAGTAAGTACTGGGATCTGGATGTTGATGGTGGGAGTGGAAGATAAATGTAAAATTGTCTGTGAAAGCCAAGAATCTGATTGTAAGCATCATGGTGGTTATTTGAACCAACATTATTTTCTCCACTTTCTTGGAAATCTTAAGACTGACTCCCTGAACTACAGCAGTGTATCCAATAAAGGTGCCTTAATTACAGATATCCCAGTTTAATTTTCCCTATAGTGTGTAGCCACTATAAGAGTGGCTATAAGGGTAAGAGTGTCTATTTAAGAGCAAGGTCAGAGATCAGACAGAGCTCATCTATATCCTAAAAGAATTTAAAGCAGGATCAAGAATAATTTGCAACACAGAAGGGTTCTGTGATAAGAGAAAATAACTTGGATGTCTTTTCTAATACACAAATGCCCAGAAGATGTTCATGCCCTTTAGCTTTGTCCGTTTTTCACTATGCCTACAGGTAGTCCTTGATTTACGACCATTCATTCAACAACCATTTGAAATTATAACAGTGCTGAATTAAATGATTTACAATCTATGCCCAAAGTTATGTCCATTACAGTTCCCCTGTGATTAATGTGAACAAAATTTGGCAGCCTGTTCACAAATATGACTCCAAGGGACGGGTATAGCTCCCTTTTTACATATATCTATCTCCTCCAATCTCTATAGCCCGCCAGCACATGAAAACCTGCCGCAGCCCTGTAGGCCTTGATTGGCTACAGGGATCGCCAGTATGCAAAAAACTGGTGGCTACCTAGTCCATCAGCACATACAAAGAAGCCTATTTACCTTCACAATTTTGTTCAACTGTTGACAAGCATGTGCAGTCTAAGGTGCAGCCTTCCTCTTAAAAACACCTTGCACTATTCTCCAAATGGGCTCCGTTCTTTGGAATCTTCCTCCAAGTTGCCCAATTTGGAGAAGGAGGCTTCCAAAGGATTGTGAAAATAGAACTGGTTCTCATGGTGCTTTAAAAGCATTCACAAAAATGTGCAATTTGGTGTGCCCTAAAGCTTGTAAAGACCCCCCAAGGAACCCCCACAATCCTTATCCTGGGCTCCCTCTGCTGAACAACTAATAAGATCTCTTAACAACCACAATTTGGAGTGCTAATATTGCGGTCATTGAACAAAGCAGTCACATGATGTCTTGTTTAATGATTGCTTTTCTTAACTGATATTCCAGTCCCAATTGTGATCATAAGTTGAGGAGTACTTATATTTATTTTGAATAGCCCTATAGATGAATAGCCAACTTATGAATACAATTGGGACTGGAATCTTATTGAATGGAATAGTTGTTAAGCAAGATGACTATGTGACTGCTTCCCTCAACAATTATAATCCCAGTTCTCCCAGTTGTAGTTGTTAAGTGGACAGAATAAAAAAGCTACCTGCTGAAAGAAGACATCTAGTACACCTCTTTGTGTGTGGAAGGGAACCCATGCACTGGGCTGGAGAAATGAGGCAGGGATCACAAAGGTCCTTTCTTTGCACAAATACTTCTTTCCTCCATATATACTGTAGAAGGGAACTCATGTTGGGTGGGAAAGATGAGATGGGGATTGTCAGTATTCTGCTTCATCTCTCCAGCTCAGTGCACAACTTCCATGAGTGAAGGGAAATTATGTGCTGGACTAGAAAGATCATGCAGGGATGGCAAAGACCTGAGCTTCAATTCTGCAGCCTGATTAAGGATTTGTACAACAACTCGTAGCTTATATAGAGAGAAGTGTAAATCCTTCTGCAAGTGGCAGCAACTTCTAGCCTTCCATGCTAACTTCCCCATTAACTTTCTGAGGAAGCCAGCAGAGAAGATTGTAATGGCAATTGCATGATCATGGGACACTCAACAATCAGTTGTAAATGTGAGCAAGTTGACCAGTACCAGCATGATTATGTGACTGTGATGGGGGAGGGAGTAAGTTTTATGATAGCTGGAAATGCTTTAAGGGCCATAAAGTACCCTTTTGAAGCTGAAACATCAAATGGTCATTAAATGACCGATGGTGTAATGAGGATTACCTATATTCCAAAGTTTTTTTAAAAAGATTCTTACTCTCAAGTATACCATAGTTGAAGAGAAAACTGCTCTGCATATCCTAAAATTATCCACATACTTCATCTTCTTCCTCAGTTAATATTTTCACTGTTTTAGGTACTGCCTGAAGCATCTGCTGAGTAAAAATCTACTTCTTGGATCATTTATCAGGCCTAAAAAATTCTGGAGTGCTTAATTGTGTTTGCAGTTCAATAAGAATAGCAAACCCTAAAAATAGTTCTGATAAATTTCCCTCTCCTGTTTTAAACAGGTGCCCCTAAGAAGGAAGTATATTTCATGGCCATTATAGATATCCTTACACCTTATGACACAAAGAAAAAAGCAGCGCATGCTGCCAAAACTGTGAAACATGGGGTAAGAAAGAACTATTTCTTTGCATTGATCTCATTGTGCTTAGACAAGCATTATCACATTTTATAATATATTTCAGAACTGAAGCCACAGTTGGTTGAGAGTGATCCAGAATTGTGAAAGGGAAGCAGGGGTGCAACCATTTAATATATAAATTGATGGGGCTGAGACTTCCATGGGGTTTTTATCTTTTTTCTTTCAGTATATTATACTTGTTTGAGATTATACTATGCTTTTTATCATTCATATATCACTCAAAATGATAGCAATTTTTCAGGAATTCTGGTTGCAAAGGGCTTTAGAATTTGCAAAAAATAATGAAATGCTGGAATAGAAATTTTGTTACATAAAAGCCACATAGAGTAAGCTACATCACATTTTTCACCTTCTTATCATTTTCGTTGTTGTTTTCTAGCCATTTTGCAGCTTCCAAATAAATACATCAGGAATATTTTAATGTGACCACACCAAAGATACATTTTTATATGATTTTTCTATTGCTGTTGTTCTGTCTTTTGTTTCTGTGTATATTTCAGTTCTTTACACACACACTCTTGCAAAATATGTCCTTTCAATGAATCTCTACATGACTCACTTCTTAAATAACCTTGTCTAGTTCAACTCTGCCCATCAGGGTCTCATCATCCAAAGCCATAGGTTACAGAATGCTAAATGAGGTCCAGAATGAAATTAATGCAGAAAATATTTGCAACACTCAGAAGTTAGAGCTGAGGCTGTTAGGATAACAATGTCTCCTTCTAGTCCAATATACCTTTTCAAATGGGCATGATCCAGTGCCTTTCTGCTCAGTTTTTCTTTTTTTTTTTCACCTACCTTAGCAATATTTTTAAGAGGACTCTTGGTTTTCTGATAATTTTTTCTCAATAAAATGCTAATTCCAGGTTTTTTTTTCCTAATGTTCAATTAGAACATTGTTACAATGTTCTAACTGAACATTGTAACAACATACTTTTGTGCAGGTGATGAAGTCACTGTTAGGGTGGCAGTCTTACTCTTTCCATAATCCTAAGGTTAGGCTGCATCACCTTTCAGGCAAGTGCCTTTGTTCCTCTGCCTGCACAAAAAGCATGAAAAAGAGGATGTAACCACATTTTTCTGGTGGCTATATAAGGGCCTGTTCAAGCTGTTCTGCCTCTCTGTTGCAGGTGATTATTTAGCTGTCTCTAAACTGAGCGGAAACACAAGAAGATAGCTTTGCCCCTTGGAACATTCAAACAGCACTGGGATTGGAGAGCTAGTATAGTCAGAAGATGTTTAAAACATCATCAGCTGAACAATTTTTCTTCATAAATATCCATGGATAATATGTAGTTTGTAAGACATTTTCTACTAAAGATTCTGAAGAGAGTGAATCAATAT